GGGGATGTTCTTGTAGTAGAGCTCGTCGCGGTCGTAGAGGTGTTCCCCCTAGCATCGGGGTCAGCCAGGGCTTTCTGCGAGCTCTCCATGGTCTTGAGTACTGCCTGCTCAATTTGCTTTTGCTTGATGTACTCCTGGATATCCTTAGCTTTGTTGCTAGTGCAGCCATGGAGCAGGCACTTGGGATCCTGTCTTTGGTGCCCACCGTGGTGACTGGGCCCCTTTAAGCACCTTTGACATGTCGGGAGGTCGCCCCCCATTTCTGCCATTACGTGGGCAACGATCTTGTTCTCAGTGCCGTCGAGAAAGTATCACGTTGCACAACAGAGACAAACTGTAGGACCCGCGCACAAAGTGCGGAATCACACCCCGGTTAAAGTGGCAGCAAAGTTTCGCCAATCTCTTTCAGGTAGCGGTCGACAGACTCCCCGAGGAGGAAGGGTCACCGAACAGCTGCGTTGCACAACCAGGTCGCCCTGAGAAGCGAAGGGCTCGAGGTGCGCACACTTGGCCAGGTCGTCGTTCAGCAATGGCGAAGGAAAGACAGGCGGAGAGGCACGGGAAAGGCGCCCCGGTTTGAGGACAGAAGGGTGCCTGATAGCAGGGAGAGAAAAGGAAAGACAGAGGGGCGGAGCGGCATCCAACGTCCTTGAACCACTCGCGGCTTGAGCCAAAATGGCTACGGTAGGAGCTATCTCTCTCTCTCTCTCTCTCTCTCGCTCTCTGTGCCGCTGCATCCAGCCATTCGGGGATGCTGCCTGTGTAACTTATATAACCTGCAATTCATCATCTCCGGTATCACGCAAATCGCATCAGCGTCATTGATAACCATCGGCATCAGCATCATCGGCATCATCATCGTCATCAGTGCCATCACCATCATCATCACCATCGTAATCATTATCAACATTATCATCATTATTATTATCATCATCATCATCATGGTGACCATTTTCATTCGGCGACCAGGTGCCAGCACATGAGTCTCCGTGTCGTCAACTTAACTACTATTCCCTAGAGTCTCAGATACAGACATGGCTTCTCGCCATGTTCCACGGATAACGCAAGTGTCTGGCATCAGCAAAGCTGCACGGAAACCAGGTTTCTCTTTTTGGCGATCAATGAGCAGACTTGCTGAAGTGGACAGTCCGACCCTGTCTCTGCAGCCAGATGTCTTCGCAGGCATAGCTGCGACAGGTGTAGACTGGCCCAGCCTGCGGCTTGGATCCAACATCGGTCGGGGTTGAAGACTCCGTAATGTTTCTCACGGCTCTGAACAAACCCGGCAATTTCTGCAACAATCGCGCTCCATGTCCTTGTCGCCACCCATTGATCAGAACACGTCCTGAAAATCCTGGATGTGAGTAGCATGTATCATGCTTGCTTCTAGTCGTGCTCGCTAGAACCATTCCAGCCACGCTCTGCCTGCAGAAGCCTGCGACCAATGCCTGCCAGGAAGCTTGCGACCCCACACAGCCAATGTGACAATTTCCGGAGGGGTAGACGAAGGGCGTCATACTCAAGCGCACCTCAAGATGCGGCGCATCTGCCCCGAGCGCAGCAGCCAACGTGCTGAGGCATTCCGCAGCTGCCGCCTGCTGACCTTGTCATCTCAGTCAAGCAACGCATGCACCAACATGCGCATTACAATCTCCAATGCTGCAGCCCATACAGTTACAAGGGTGGGGGGTGCCATACGATATTTCAGCATCTCGGGCCAGCCGGGTGCGGACTTTGAGTTGAATAGTTTGGTTTGTTCGTTCATTTTTGCTGTCTCTAGGTACCCTTGATGTGGCTTTCGTGCGGAACAGGAACTCGAATCCTCCAGCAAAGAAAGGAGGCCCGGAACCGCCTGCGCGGCCAACGGGAGAAGGTGGCGGGGCTCCAGCGTCCTCGCTTGTCAGGATGAACAGTGCTCGAAGCTTCCATAGTCCTGCAGCTTAGACTTTAGACGGCAATGTTTCAATGGCCCACCGCCCCTACCAGCCTCAGAGTTTGGAATCAACAAGCACAATGTGTTCTTGATTCCTCTGGGTCCTCTAACTAGAATCTTCTAACCTAGGCACTTGCAGCCGGACCTGCCAACATCAAACCCATGATGCAGGGCAGCAAGGAGACAGCGATTAGCGATTTGCTGTCGAAGGCTCTCCGCTGCTGCCTGGAGGATTTCGAAGACAAGGTTCAAAGCCTGCCGGGGTTGGGACGTCTTGCTAATTGCCGTCAGGGCTAAGGCATGTTTGAAGATGTAGCTGAAGAATGCACACATGAACAAGCTGTGCTTCGTCTTGTCATCATGTATAGATGTATACACAGCTGTATACACAGCTAGAAAAGAGTGTGCGTGTGTGGCGGATGTGCGTCTCTGAACATCCGCACATTTGCAAATAAATAGATATATATATATATATATTGTGTATATACACACATACATACATACATGCATGCATGCATGCATGCGTATCTATCTGTCTATGTATATGTGTATATATATATATATGCTATACGTGTATGCATTTATATGTACACTGTACACTGTAAATGTGTTCGTGTGTACATGCGTATCTGCATCATATGTTCACAGATTTGTATGTGTGCACGTATTATGCGTGCGCGTTGCTTGCTTGCTGGGGGTTTGGGGGCGAACCCCCCGGCCCGGAGGCCAACCCCACCACGGTCTGCGCTGGTTCGTCTGAGAGGCCCCTTTCGGAGTCTGTCTGTCTGTCTGTCTGTCTCTGTCTGTGGTGTCATGTTGCCATAACCATCCTCCTTTTTGTCTTTCCCAAGCATGTTATCCTTCGCAATTCCGATGATGTCTGCCGGCCTCCGGCTGGTCTCGCTTGGCCAGGACTCGGGCGACGACAGGCCACAACGATGCCAAATCAGAGGGGTGACCTTCAGCAACTTGTGGAACTTGCAGGATTCTGATACACATACTGCACACTTTAAGCGGCGAAACAACTTGCAGGCTGCACTGTCCACGACATGCCCTGAAAGGATTTGTATGGTGGGTTGTGTGAGGTTAGTTGGCTGGGGTTCCTTCTTACTTTGCATTTCAGTAGTTATGCATGATGCTGCCATAGCCAGATCTCACACACACACAAAGCAACTTCTCAGTTGAGGGCAGATTTCGCACTGTGCTTCCTCTGAGGCCGCAGCTCTTGCCAAGTGCCTTCACTAAAGCCACGGTGGCCAGTAAGCCTTCTTCTTGGACAGTGCTGTCGAGCATGCGGCCTTACCGCGCAAACACAGTAGCTTGGTTGCTTTCCGTGCCGTGCCGTCTGGTTTAGCAGAGCTACTTGCGCAGAACTGGAGGAGGCGGTCCGCAAATTCGAGGACCGCAGGGCCAAGACGAAGCGTCAAGGCCTTCAGACAGCCGCCGGCCCCATCAATGTGCCTGCACTTCTGTAATGCATCCAGGAACTTCAACAGCAAGGCTCCGAGGAAAGGCTCGCAGCTGGAGCTTTCAATGAGGCCAGCGAGGGCTCTGAGGAGTGCAGGTCTTGCCGGCGAGTTTGGAGGCACCTCCTCAAAAGCTGCGAGCAGCTGGCCCGCCAGGATCTCGAAACTCTTTGGGGACGCACAGGCCTGGGACATCAGTTCTTGCAGCACTTGCCCGAAGTCGAAGGACATTGATTCGTCACGGATCGCCACAAGGCTGGTCTGGAGCCAGCTCTCCTTGACCGCGTGCGGAATGCACTCCTTCTGCATCTGTAAGGCCCTCGTGGCCGTCTTTGCTGCCTGAATCCGCCAAGAAGGATTGCCATGGACCATGGCAGCCGACACCAGTGGACAAAAGAGACCTACCGCTTCGGCTGCCTCCCTCTCTCTGGCCTCCAGCAGCGCATCCAGCGCCAGCAAGTCTCCAAACCCTGGCTCCACGATCTGGCTGGATGCATGGCTCCGGGACAAGAACTGAAAAATCTGCTGGATGCAAAACTCGTCCTTGTCGGCTTTGACTAATAGCTGTAAAGATACTGAGGCAGCCTCAACCAGCTGCTGATCACTCCAACGCCCAGCATCTGATGCTGCAAGCATTGCTAGCAGAAGAGGCACCAGCTGCGGCAGGAACTCTGCAACAAGTCCCTCCCCAGCGTAGGTTCCACATGAGGCCGCGGCGATGTCGTGAAGCGCAAGGCTACTCCAGAACTCCACGGCAATTATTGAAACGGCTGATGGTGTTCCCTGCATCGACTGCAGCACTGTGGGAGCCACACAGCACAAATTAGGCGAAAGCACAGTGACAGATTCCGTGGCCAAGCGGCCAAGGCAACGCAAAGTGGCACTGGCGAGCAGTTGATCGAGCTCCGTGAGCTCGGACGGTGACTGCCCTAGCTGGTGGCATTGTAACAGCGCCGTCCGGCAGGCCAACACCAATGCATCCAGCAATTCTCGGCTAAGCGCGTCATCTGGCCCAAGGACATCCCGCGCACACCCCAGCAATTGAAACACTGTCTCTGCTGCCACCAACTGATTCTCTCTGATGCCGCCGGTCGGTAAGCAAGTCAGCAACCGGAGGCAAGCCTTCAACATCCTTAACACCGTGGTCCGGATCTCCTGACCGCCTTGCTCACAGACGAAGGACTGCCACCACTCCTCCGCCCAGAAGCCCATGATACGCAGCGCCGCGATCTGAGCCTGTCCTTCTTCTGCACACCACCTGAGGCAGCAACGACAGTCATGACATTGACGACTCGCAAAGGCACGAACGCACTAACGGAGCTGCACACACGCAGATAGAGTGAGTCGGCATTCGCACATATCCACAACATTTTGCAATGTTGCGCTTCCCGTGCTCCCCACCCAAGTGTCCACTGTAGGGTTGCAGCAATGGTGTCGGTGGCAAAGGACGATGCTCAAGATTTGCCTATCGGGATACCCAACTCTTGACACACTCCACAGACGCCAAACGGTGGGCACGAAAAGTAGTTGTCCCCTGAATCTGGAAAGCACGGCCAAGGGTCTCCGCCTCTCCAACGTGGGCAGCAGCTCGACCCACTGCCCAGACGGGACGTCCTGCCAAAAGTCGTTCGACGAGGCCACCACATGTGCCACATAAACGGCCGAGGCCGATAAGTTGCATGCGTCCTGCGCCGCGCAGGTACCGGCAACTGCTGCCGCCGCACGCGCGACAGCAACATCGGGATCGACGGAGGCTCGAAGTACTGCCTTTCAGAGACTGGCTCAGAGACGAGGACAGCACACATGTGTGGCCTCGGGCCAAGGGAAGCAAACGCAACAAGCAAACCCCAAACCTCCTTCAGATTCAGCACGGGGAGAGCTCAGGAGACTGAACAAAGGGTGAAAAGGAACCCACGACAACATGCCTACGGCTGCGGAGCAGAACTGGTGCAGCCACGGGTGTGTGGACAGCCACGACAAATGCAAACTACAACAAGAACAACAGCAACAACATCATCAAAATCATCAGAATCATCAACAGCAACAACAACAAACACAACAAACAAACAAACAAGCAAAAAAATAGGGCTGCCACGGCTACGGTGACGACGACGACGACGACGACGAGAACGGCTCCGACTATGGACTACGACTCCTGCAGCTACTCCTACTGCTACCGCTACCGCCATTGCTACCGCTGCCGCTACCGCTGCTACCGCTGCTACCGCTGCTTCCGCTGCTTCCGCTGCTGCTGCTGCTGCTGCTGCTGCTGCTGCTGCTGCTTTATAACCACTTGCCGCTCCCGCCGCGACAACAACTGCAACTGCTGCTGCTGCTGTTGTCTTCGGCGTCCTCCTCCTCCTCCTCGTG